TGTCAAGCACATTTGTACATTTGTTGCCCTCATCATTCTCAAAACATTTGCTTTCTACTTGAGCCCTTGGTATCAGCTCCTCATTTTCTCCCTCCCTCCCCACTTCTCCACCTTCATGAACCGTTGATAATTTTTATAAATTGTTATTATTTTGTCATGTTTTGCACTGTCCGATGTCTCCCTTCACCCACTTTTCTATTGTCCGTCCCCCCAGGGTAAAATTTGAATTTTAAAACATGTCTAAAATGAGTTGATCTTTTCTCCTCCATCAGAACTCAGAGTAGAAGTAGTGTCATTGAATCTCTCTGGGATTTTGCTACCCAAAATGGTAAGTATTAATCAAATGTCTATTTATACTTTAGCTTAAATAAAACTGAAATTTTTTTCTCCACTTACATTAATTACATTTCAAATGATAGCCAATGAAGTTCAAAGAACAGTAAAAAAAAAGATATTTCATTCATTGAAGAGCATATTAGTGGACTGAATTCTAATGCCATTAGGCTTTTTTTTCTCTGGAGAAAACCATCATTATGGAAATGTACGAATGCAAAAATGTAAAGAGGGATGGATAGTTTTATGATATTTTTGACACATCTATTTAGATGTCACAGAAAAGTCACACACACCAACTATCAGACTAATTTGAAAATTTAACCTACAATCCCTATTTTTATTTTTTAGTAACCACTTAATCCAATGCTATTCACCCAATCTCAGTGAAATTAGACTCCCAAATGCTCAGTTGTAAGTCAAAGTCTCCTGACAGTGCAGTGGTTCAAGTCAAAAGCAGGAATGAATCTACACTATTTTCCTCTACTTTTTACCACTACAAACACTGGCTATAACAATTTCCCTCCTCTCTCAAATCTTTTCATTTTCTGTCATCCGTTCAGATTGCTAGTAGTAAATTCACATAGCAAAGGTACCCTTTTTTTTAAAAAAAACAAAACAACCCATGCATTTCAACAGTCTCCTAGCTGACTTCCATCCAATCATTTCCATGACTGTTTCCCCCTCCATTCATTGGTTTACAGTTTTTAGATCATCAATGTACTAAATTAACTCCCCCAAAAGAGCAGCGTAGTCACCGAGCTCATTAGGATTCTATTGTTTCAGAAACTGAAAATCTCTACAGAAACAGGAAATCTCATCTTTCTTCCGTAAAGTGGCTGGTGGGTTTGAACTACCAACCTTGTAGCTAGAAGTCAATACTTAACCTACAGCACCACAATGGCTCCTTTTTTATAAGTTGTACCTATCCAATTCAATCAGAAAGAATTTTGACTTTGGGTGAATGCATTTGAAAGATAAAATCTCAGAGAAGAGACCAACTCTATTGGTCACAAAATTAATAACAAACACATTCCAATGAAACAAAACTGTCAACTATTTGTACTTTTATTCATTAAAATACTTGAAAATCAAATAGTTGGCATAGAATATCTATTTGACTATTATTTGTTAAAAACGTTGTGGGTTCTATGAGCTAATATCATATATAGATATGATTTTGACATTTGTAAGTGAAAAAAAAAATACTGGTAGCAAAGGAAACTGGAACCGAGTGTTAAGATAGCCTTGCTGACTCTCACTACACTAAGGGAAGAGAACAAGGACTTTAGTAAGAAGAGTGGATTAATGTAATAGAAGTGGAAATATTTTGCATGCTTGTCTAGAAGAAGCCCTTTTATAGCCTCACAGACTTAGAATTGTACATATTTTCTGCTAATTTTTAATTCTATCTAGGGCACAATGATACAAACTTGATTGAGTGAAGTATTATATTAAATTACAATGAATTCTTTTTCACATTTTCACAGAACCCACTATGGAATGGACTCAACATAGCCCGAAGTGCATATTAATGGAAAATATTTTCATTGAAAATAATACACAGATTCCAAATGGCATAAAAATTCAATAGCCTCAATGTTAAGTAATAGGTCTGTCTTTTCCATAAAAACATTGCTTACATTTATTATTTTATTTTAAAACTTTTATTATTTTTATTTTAATAAATCATTTTGGGAGCTCTTACAGCTCTCATAACAATCCATATTTGGTGAGGACCTAATGCCGGGGGCTTAAGTGGAGAGGAAATGTTTTGAGAATGATGAGGACAATGAATGTACAAATGCACTTTACACAATTTATGTATGTATGGATTGTGATAAGAGTTGTATTAGCCTCTAGTAAAACGATTAAAGAAAAAAACAAAAAAAATTCCATATTTGGAAATAAAATAATTGGCATAGCATATCTATTTGACTATTATTTGTAAAACATTGTTGAGGCTTCTGTGAGCCAATATCCTATATAGATATGTTATCGATATTTAAAAGTGAAAAAAAATACTAGCTAAGAAAACTGGAACCAAATATTATGGTAATCTTATTGATTCAAACTACACCATGGGGAGAGAATGAGGACTTTAGAATGAAGAATGGATAAATGTAATAGAAATGGAAATATTTTTGCATTTCTGTCTCAAATAAGCACTATCTTATCACCTCACATAATTAGAATTTTACATATCTTTAGCTAATTTTTAAAATACCATCTATGGTATACTGATCCAACTTTGATTAAATGAAGTGTTATATTTGATTACAATTAACTATTTTTCACAGCCTTTTTCATAGAAACCATTATTATATGGACTCAACATAATTAGAAATACACATTAATGGAAAATATTTATTTAGGTTATGTATGGTACCATACTTTTCATTGAAAATAGTACAGACTCTAAATTGTATAAAATTTTTCATACATAGACACAATGTTAATATATCTGTCTTTTGCATAAAACATCGCTTACTTTTATTATTTTCATACAATTATTTAATTCTTAAATATAAACATCATACTATTTTATTAGAACTCAAGTTAATTATTTAAACTTACTGCATAGTCCTTTGTCACAGTCGTTAGGGCAACTGGCACAAGGGATTCCTTGGTCATAAGGCCGATACAGGCGATTTACATGATTACCACTGAAATTTGAAAGGTCAAAGATTTTTTCACTTATCTCTTTAGTTTATGTTTCAAGAGTAACATATGTCACCCAAAACAGGCACATTTACTCAGAATTTTAAATTATATTAACTAACTAAAAGAATAACACATTTCTAATATGCAAATTAGTTAACAATAAAGAATGAGTGACTACACACAGTCACTTATCTCCTAGAGTATTATAATTTCATGATCTGAGCAATTAAATGGGATAACTAGTGTCGCAGGCTTTTAGAATATGTATTCAATGGAGCAATCCTCTCTTTTATTCTTAGTTTCAAAAAGAAAAAGTGAAAAACCAAACAATTTAATGCTAGTGATTAAACTCATAGTGAGTCCCCTTTGGGTTTCCAGTACTGTAATTGATTACGGGAGTAGAAGCCCAGTTTTTCTCCCTCATAGGCAAATTATTTCAAACTGCCAACCTTCTGAATCACAGCCCAACACATAACCCCTACACCACCAGGTCTCCATTGATACCTGGTAGAGTAAGTAGCTAAGGCAGTGCACCACAAGTGTGCCAGGGTGTGTAACTCATGCTCAATACATAGGAGACACCCCTGGTAGCCAGGATTTTGCAGTATAAAAACAATATAATGTAGATGTAGAAAGAAACAGCTATATAAGTGAGGCATCAACTAAATCTACATGGAAGAAGCATACCAGCCTGTGGGATCCGAGGATTGTGGGTAAAAAATTCCCAGTCCAAAGGAGGAGAGGCTATCAGAGATTAAATTGTGAACACCCATTTTGCAGTAGGTTATGGATAAAGGTGGAAGCCCAAAATCCATTTGCAGGGTCCACACATAGATTAAGCCTCCAGTAAATACCCTCTGACCATAGTCAAGTGGTGTGAATATGTTTCTTATCAGACAGACTGCATTTTAAAGTAAATTACGGCAGAAATAGGTTAAAAAGCAATAACTTGTCATTTGATCTTCCTTTTGACCCATTTTAAAATTGTGTCAGTTTTTAATATTTTCTGCATTTTTGGATTTTCCATCTTTTGTCTAGTCATTGGTTTTTGTTTGTTTACTTTGTATTTGTGTTTTGTATGGCTTTCTGCATTTGAAATGCAGGATCTGTCGGTATACAGAGATAGTAACTGGATTGATAATTTCCTAGGGGCATGGCAGTGAGAATGGGCCAAATGGGAAACTAACAACAATGAATACAAGAAGACAATGTTCTGAAATTGATGGTGGTGATGATGGCACAGGTCTTCTGACTATAGCTGAACGATGAAGTTGTGTGATACTTGAAATGTTTATGTCAACAGAACTGTTTTCAAAGTGTTCTGAAGGCTTTCTTCTGTGGTTTTCCTCATCAATCTTCCAGTATCTGGATTCAGCGTCTGGCCCTCTTCTCACAGCCTAAGATCTTCTAGAATCTTTCGATTATTTTCTATAAAACTCAGTAGGTGCCCTCTGAAAAATTACTTTGAAGGTTACACTTCTCAAAATGGATAACCCTATCCCCAGGTAATCTACAAACACAAAACGAATCAGACAGGAAACTTGGTTTGGAGGGGAAGTTTTGGACTGCTACCATGTGGTTCAAAAGACACAGGCCCTTCTAAGGAAGGAAGACTAGGAGGCTACGTGTTTCTGTAAAAATGTACAAGGCATCAGGAAACCCTGCAGAAGTGCTGCTTCCATGAATTAGAACCCATTCAATGGCTGTGGGTTTGGGATTTTTTATGCCTGCCTCCCATGGTTAAGAATTTCAAATCTTTAACAGAAGTGAAAACTAATAGATATATTGTACATATTTCTTCAATATATTCATATGATTTATTGTGGATAAATCCAAATAAATTGCTTAAGAAGGACATGTTCCAGCTATAATCATGAACTTAACATATGGTCTATTGTGGAATTTTCTTTTTAAAAAATATGAGAATCAAATTCTTAGGGTATTTTCCTTTTCTGGACTATTTACAGCATATCAGGACTTTTTAAAGTACTCAATGCCCAAGATTCTTTTTTTTTTTTTTAATGGCAATAGTGTATTACTTTCAGAGCATGACTCAGAACACATGACAGAAAGATCTGGAACCACTTAACTATGTCGTTCCCTGTTGTTACCAAGCCCCAATTATAGTGTAACAAAAATGCCACACTCCAGCGAGTGAGTTTACTAAGAAATTATTATACCAAATCTAGAGAACTGCAGAATACCCTCATTAATGAATTAACCCTAAACTTAAGGAAATATGATTGAGAGATAAAACAAATTGCTTTTGACATGAAAATAGACATCTTGGAAATTTACACTTGAACCTTGGAATTGTGGTTTCTTTCTTAGAAAACAAAACATATCTCAACTTTAGGAAACAACATTTACCGTGCTTCCTTCCTTTGATTGAAACATGCTTTATATTCTGATATTGCTTATTGTTTGAGAAATTACAATTATTAAAATTGCAGAGGGCAGCATTAGCCTTCGACTCTAAAGGGCATACTTACCCAGGACAGTATTGGCAAACATAGAGTATGCCTAGGTCAGGACACTCAGCCACTCCACATCCAACTTTACTAGATGAATACCAAACGACCTACACCCCCATAAAGGAGAGCACATGCAGAAGAAGAAGAAAACGTCACCAAACAAATAGTGGCAAGTGTAACATGCAAACGTTAATGATGTAGTCTATGGTTGTACAAAAATGATAAACTATTGAGTGCAAATCACCAACTTTAAAAAATATAAAATATCCATGTATATTCGCTACTTTTTTCACTTCGATTGTTTCTTTAAGATATAAAATACGTATGTTTTCCTACAGAGTCCACAGTGTACTGACAAATAATAACATCTTATAATTCAAGTAGAAGGATGATTTTTTTTTTAACAATTGGGTATTTTCCTCAAATTGAACATTGAAATCATTCAAAAATAAGAGAAAGTTTTTGTTTTAAAGGACAGGCCATTTGAACAGAACAATAACAACAACAACAAAATCACTGACTTTTCTTACCTGAGTGAAATGTCCAACAATTGCTGTTGAACTCACTGGTCCGACACCAGGCACAAAATCCTTGACTTCATCATACCACGCTTGGACTACATTTTCCCATAGAGGAAAGAAATTTGCCACATAGAGATTCTCACCACACTGGCTATCTAAGAGGAATATATTATTCATGAGAACAAAAGTAACACATACAATGACACAATAAACCATATATGTAGACACAAGAACCATCACCATTCTGAAAATGTGGGGCCCATAGTTGCTAATTGTTGGCACACTAGCATGGTTTCTCAGATGCTAATGAGATACTTATTGAACAAAGTCAGTAGTGGCTAACCCAATGAGGTTGACATGAGTGTGGAAAATGTTGAGTAGGTGAAGAATCTTTCTTTGGCTTGAAAATTACATTTCTTGGAACTGTTAGAGATGCACTCACTGCTATAGAAGCCATCTGTGCTGTGCACTTTGCATTATAAGATTGTGGAAGGCACAGACCAAGGCTTGTACTCTCTCTCCTGCTCTTGCTTAGCATCACCAAGACTTTTTTCAAGGATCTAAGTAAATATGTAATATTGTGATTTTGTACAGGGTGTTGTTAGTATTGTTGGTTGCCATCTAGTGGCCACTGATTCATGGCAACACCATGAATAACAATATTGTTCATTGTGAGCCTCCAGGTTTTCAGTCACAGCTTTTCAGAAGTAGATGTTAAGGCCTTTCATTCTAGTTTGTCTTAGTCTGGAAGCGCCACTGAAACTTGTTTAGTATCACAGAATCATGGAAGCCTACTCTTACTCTGAAAAGCCAGTTGGTAGCTAAATATGAATTTTATTGGCTGAGAATCCAACCCAGTTGCACATGGGACAGAGATTTCTACCACAAACTGCTAAAAGACAGTATAAACTCCCCATGGAGAGTTCTGTTCAGAGAGGATAAAGGAATGGAACGGTAGATTGGGATATTTAAGAACACATTTCCCCTCAATTTTCTACAGAATACATTCATTGCTCTTCATGCCTTACTATATACTATCAAAAATGTGCATAAGAATGGAAGTTCCCCTCTTCTCAAAACAGGTAAGCAGTTTATTTACACCTTTCAAACTGGACTCGTCTACTGTATATGTAGACTAGGCTAATGAAGATCAAGGATTTCAGCCTTCAGTGTGCATGACAACTCAATGTAAAGAAGACCCAAATCCTCACAACTGGAACAATAGGTGACATCATGATAAATCGAGAAAAGATTGAAATTGTCAAAGATTTCATCTTGCCGGTATCCACAATCGATCTTCATGGAAGCGACAGTGAAGCGATCAACAGCATGTTGCCTTGGGCAAATCTGCTGGGTATTTCTTTGACGATTCAGGTGCACCTGACCCAATAAGCCCTAGTATCTTCAATGATCTCATGTGCCTGTTAAAGTTGGACAGTAAGTAATGCAAGCCAAGGAAGGATCCATGCATTTGAATTGTGACGTGGCAAGGAATATTAAAGATGCATTGAATTACCAAAAGGCCAAGCGAACCTCTCTTGGAAGATGTAGGGTCACAGTTTTCCTTAGAGACAAGCAGGGGTGGCATTCAGCCATTTTGTACCAGTTCGGCATAACCAGAAAGTGATTTTGTGTTGAGTTTAGCCAAGGGGTTATTAAAATGACACTTGTAAACAGGGTTCTCTCTAAGTTGGGCAGACACATGATGTGGAAATAAACGATTTCCATTCCTTACCCTTTTCTGTTAATGTTAATCTGTTCAAATGAGTATTCTAAGCATCTGTGGGAGTGTTCAACCCATTCATAGGGATAAAAAATAGACGAAACTACGCTTGTAACATTTAATGATTTCATAAAACTCAGAATACTTTTGGTAGAATACTACATTTTTATCCCCTTACATTTGTTAGTTCAGTAAGCAAACATATCATAAAAAGAAAAAGTGCCAAGCAGTCAGAAGGGAACAGACTCTCATTCATTTCAGCTTTGTGTTGTGACCCAATTCTCAGGAGATACTATGAGTGAATTATGCAATCCCTGAAAGTGTTCAAAGAGCGAAAAATATTGTCATAATGATACCTGTTAACTCAGCAACTTTTCTGACAAAATTCGGAAAGTGGATTGTAAAGGAGGATCAAAATATATTCTCAGAAGAAAAGTTGCCTATTTCTAATCTAGGCCTACCTTTAAAGGAATGGGAATTTACTCCTACCTTGAAAAGATGGTCAAGGATATTACACAGCTGATGAAAGTTGGATAAAAGTGAAGAATATTATGAGTGGATGCCAATCAAAGAGCAATATGGAAATATCTTAAAGAATAGTTTTATTGTTTTTGGTCAGGTATTATTTAATATATTAAGACTCATAATCTATTTTTTGTATCTCATTTATTTTCATTTAACTATTAACTCTATGAAATAATAAACTACCTTATGTTATATCATTTTTAAAAAATATTTAAAATGGCCATTAGGTGAGTAAACAGGTTATTAAATTACTTGAATCTCAACACTAAAGATTGGGGAGGTCTGTGTTACATATTTTGAACATGTTATCAGCAGAGACCAATCACTGGAGAAAGGCCTGATGCTTGGTAAAGTAGAAAAATCCGAATCTCACTGCCATGGAGTCCATGCTGACTCATAGCAACCCTTCCGTGGGTTTCTGCGACTGTAACTAGAAGGGTAGTGCAAAAGAAGGCCCTCAACTAAATGGATGGACACACGGCTGCAACAATGTTCTCAAGCATAAGCATAATTGTGGTCAGAGTGAAGGACCTGGCAGTGTTCAGTTCTATTGTGCGTAGGGTTACTAAGAATGGGAACTGACGCAATGGCACCTAACAACAGTAGGCTTCCCTAGTGGCAGGGTGGTTACGAGCTGGGCTGCTAACCCTAAGGTAAGCAAGTCAAAATCACCAGCTGATCCTCAGGAGAAAACTGGCCTTTCGACTCCAATGAAGAGTTACAGTCTCAGAAACCCACAAAGGTAGTTCTCCTCTGTCCTACCGATTGCTGAGTCAGAATTTATTCAATAACAGTGAGTTTGAAAGTGTTGATATGTATTCCAAAGGAGCCTTAGCAGTGTAGTGTTTTGCCATGGACTGATATAACCCGAAGGTCAGCAGTTTGACTCCACTAGTTGCTTCTTGGGAGAAAGATGTGGCTTTTTGCCCCTACAACATAGCCTAGGAAACACAAAATGGCCATTCAACTCTATCTTATAGGGTCACAATCAGTCAGAATCCATTTGTAGGCAGTAGGATTTATGCATATGCAAGTATGCCAAAATATTTTTATATATTATCTTAAACATTTTATCTACTGTTTCATACATATGCTATTTCACAACTGTGATAGTTACATGGTTGCAAGTCAACTTGAAGAGATGCAAAAGTGTAGGGGTGGTATTCAACCTGTCAATAAGATCACAGCCTGATGATGCCTCTTTGTGGGCATGGCCTTCTCCTAAGGAGGGTCCTGTGAACCTCCCCTTCTCTGCCTGCCTTCACTTTCCTGTTGGCTGACCCTTGTTGTTGCCAGAGTCCAGTGATGTTCCCACTGCCATTGGATCCACATAACTTTGCACCCACTGGCCTGTGATATTCCTGCATTGTGCCTCATTGCGTGTGGCTCTGTGAGTCTGAAGAGGACTTACAGACTAGTATCTGACTTACGGACTTGAGTGGGACTGGGCTGGGATGTTTTCTTGATATATAATTACTTCTTGATATAAAGCTCTTTCTTACACATATAGGAATGTCTCTGGTTTTTGTTTCTCTAGTCCACCTGGCCTAACAACCACCTACTTTTTTATGTTTCTTTATTGTAGAGTACATTCATTATAGTTCATTACATGAATTGAAGGTACCCAAAGCATCAATGACTTGAGTTTCATCCTAAAAGATTAATTATGAAATATTAATAGTCATGGAATAAGTAAACATGAATGTTAATTTTTTTTTAAAAACATGTTAAATATTAAATCTAAAAATCAGGAGTAATGTAATGTAAAATCCACTGCAATCTATAAACAGAAAAGGAATTCTTTTTAGATCACAAAAGGTTATAAACATAAAATAGTTTAAAAATGCATAGTATTATGAAAAGAACACTGGTATAGAAGTCAGAAAGCCTGCTTTCAAAGTTTATATATTTTCCCTAAATATGTTTAATTTGACAAGCCTGTTTTTTCCAATCATTTCCCTCCTAGGAGCCCATTTTCTTATCTTTAGTGACTTGTATGATAAGAAAACCAAAACCAGACTCTCTGCACCAAGTCAATGTCAACTCTTAGAGAATGCAGAAGAGGGTAGAACTGCCCTTGTGAGATTCTGAGACTGTAACTCTTTATGGAAGGAGAAGGCCTTATTCTTGCAAAGAAGTACCTGGTGGCTTTGACCTGCTGACCTTGAGGTTAGCAGCCCAATGTGTAATCATTATGCCACCTGGGCTCCTTGACCTGTGTTATCAGTGACATTTATTCAAAATGATTTTGTAATGTAACAGCATAAAGTGGCAGCTTATTATTTCACTGTTTATTCAATAAATAGTTATTATTTTACATACCAGTTTTCCGCATCCATTTTTCACTGTGTTCAAATTTGCACACATTTGCCCACTTTTGGGCATTAGCTGCAGCTTTATTGTCCCACTGCTAAAAAAGTGTGAAAAGGGCACTTAAATAACACAAAGCACCAATATCGTATATTCAGATTGGTAGGACTGAGAAAGATATTTCCAACTATTGTCACAATAAAAATAAATTTTTATGTGCATTTAATCTGTTCCATAAAAAGCATAGTTATTACATTATGTCTATAGCTACTTTTAAAAAATGATTCTGCTCTATTATAAACAGATGGGGGTATTTTTGTTACTTTGTACAATAGTATTGAATTGGCCTGAATACACTGAGGAGACTCCTGGACTTTGTAGGGTATCAAGGAAAGTGATTTGCTGTTTAAATAAAGCTAAATTGATCCTACATAGACAAGGTCTTCAAAATTGCAGATTAAGAAAAATATTGAACAGAATAATTTAATGGCCTCTCACTGGGTTTCCAAAGATTTGGTTTTAATTCTGACTATCAATTTAATAGCTTGGTCCCTGTGGCACATTATTTCATTATTTGTAGATGGAGATTAAGAATTACTGCCTTGTTCACAATATATCTCAATGAAAAAAACAACAAGCAAAAGACACTAAACTTTTAAACCACCAAGTTCTTGAGGTAAATTTATTGCTAAATTCATATTCAAATCACAGTTAATTCACATAATTATCCTTTTATAGTATTGCCTGTTACCATTTTCAGCATGTTGCTGGCTGTTGGAGTGACATTGCGTCTTAGTTCGTTGTGTTTATTTACAATCTCATTTTGCACGTGAAGTAGAGTAGTTAACACATCAGCTAATTCTGGTTCCTAGAAGGAAATAACAGTATGAGATAAAAAAATACTTATTAAAGGATTTCAGTTGAATCTGCATGTAAACCTAGTGAGCTATGATTTTTGAATGGGTAGTAAATAATGTTTGAGAGGTGAGATATAATTCATACATAAAACTAAGTTAGTGAATCTTTTAAGACAACAGATCTCGATTTCTGACGTCAATGAAATCTTAAGGTGATTTATTTTTAGACATTTTAATGCTAACATAACCACAAGAGTACATGGTATGAACCATTAAAAAATAGACATTCACAAGGGAGGAGGCTGCAATAAGGACACTGTTAAGGATCATGTTGAAAAATTCACATTGATTTAAATAGAACATAATCTGACATGGTGTTTCATCTTTCTAGAAGTAATGTTTAGGCCTAGTCTAACTATATCTAACACTCCAAACTAATATTCAAAACAAAATGGTAATTGATGTTGTTATAGGAAGCTGAGTTAGTTCTGACTCATAGCTATCCACAGAAGAAAATGGCTGGTCTTTAACCATTTTCACAATTGTAATGTTGAAGCCCAATGTTTCAGCTACACGGTGTCAATCCATCTCATAGAGTGTCTTCCTTTTTGGGGATGACCCTCTGCTCTTCCAAACATGATGCCCTTTTCCAGGGACTTGTCTCTGCTGATACAATTTACAATTCATTGAGACAAAATCTGGTCGTTCTCACTTCTTCTTCTTTAAAAAAAAAAATTCATTTTATTGGGGGCTCTGACAGCTCTTATAACGATCCATACATCCAGTGTGAGCACATGTGTACATAGGTTGCCATCATCCTTTTCAAAAGATTTTCTTTCTACTTGAGCTCTTGATATCAGCTCCTCATTTTTTTCCTCCCTCACCCACCTTCCCACCCTCATGAACCCTGAGAAGTTACAAATTATTATTATTTTCATATTTTACACTGTCAACTGTCTCCCTTCATCCGTTTCTGTTGTTCATCACCGTGTGTGTGTGTGTGTGTGTGTGTGTGTGTGTGTGTGTGGTGGGGTATACATCAATCATTGTGATCAGTTCCTGCTTTCTCCCCTCCTTCTTCCCCATACTGTCATGGTATCACTACCCCAATTATTGTTCCTGAGGGGTTTATTTATTCTGGATTCTGTGTGTCGAGAGCTCTGGTCTAGCCAGATTTGCCAGTTAGAACTGGGGTCATGATAGTGGGGGAAAGGAGTGCAGGGAGCATTAAAGAACTAGAGGAATATTGTATGTTTCATCAGTGCTATACTGCACCCTGGCTGGCTTGTCCCTTCCTTGTGACCCTTCTGTGAAGGGATGTCCAATTGTCTACAGATGGGCTTTGGGTCTCCTCTGACCCTTTCACATCAATATGATTATTTCTTTGGGGTTTTCTGATGCCTGATACCTGATCCTGTCAACACTTCATGATTACACAGGCTGGTGTGCTTATTCTATGTGGACTTTGTGCTTCCCAGCTATATGGCCACGTTATTTTTAATCTTCAAGCCTTTAAGACTCCACATGCTATATCTTTTGATAACTGGGCAATGTCATCTTTCTTCACCACATTAGCTTATGCACTTATTTTTGTTTTCAGTGATCATGTCGGAACGGTGAGCATCACAAAATGCCAGGTTATTAAAACAAAGTTTTTGCATTGAGGGAGTACTTGAGTAGAGGCAGAGGCCCAATATCCATCTGCTACCTTAATACTTAACATATAAATATGTGTACATAGATTTATGTCCTTATCGTTACATATAAATATATTTACATATGTATGTGTCCATATGTAAACCTCTATAAATGTCCTTTGCCTACTAGTTCTTTCCTCTATTTCCTTTTGCTTTCTTCCTGTCCCACTGTCATGTTTGACCTTCACTCAGCTTTCAGTAATTCCTCTTGGCTTCATTGCACTTGATCAAACCCCACTAGGCATTCTAAACCCAGCTCTCCAACTATTTTAGATCACTTGTTGTTCCCTTGTCCTTGGATTTGTTGGATCTCTCCCCTTCCTTTCCTCCACCTGCCCTTTTCCCATGATCCCCCAGCACTGTCAGTCCCATTGTTTCCTCCTCAGTATTGTTTATCTTATATAGATAGATATGGGGAAAACAAACCTATAAATAGTGCCCAGTCTGTCTGTTGACAATTATGAATGTTTTCTGATTGAGTCTGATGAGGTGCCAAACCCTGTCCCCAAAGTCTATTTTGGGGATTCCTCATAGACTGCTTTACTATGCTCCCCTTGCTTTTCTGTTGCATTCCATTCGTGTTCTGCCCTGGTCTCGGGCATGCTCACTTCTAAGGAGTATTGTGACTATTCTCCTTCCTTGGCAGATATTTTTTTGTTCCTCTGAAAGTCCAGAGTAGTTCCGATATTTTTAGCCAACACCATATTTCAAGTGAATCCAATTGTGTACATTTCTCCCAATTCATTTTCCAATTTTTAGATGCATTGAGGCCTTTGAACATACTCTGACTTGGGTCAGGCCCACCTTATCCTCAAAATAATATCTTTGCTCTGTAGTGTTTTAAAGAGCTCTTTGATAACTTTAATTATTTTTCTGTTTATTGAGATGTTTTCTACTGGTACAGTAGTGAGGATTTTTGTTTCCTTTACATTGAGTTGTAATCTGTGTGGAAGTCATCAGTTTCTGATTTTCAGTGGGCATGCTTCAACTCTTCCTCAATTTCAGAGAGCAGGCTACATCAACTGCTGTATTAACTGTGGTTAATAAGACTTCCTCCAATCCTGACACATACTTTTTCTTTATATCAGCCAGGATCATGGATTATTTGTGTGCCCTAAAAATTGAATAAATGTGGTGAAGGCTATAACCTTGACACACGCTTTTTTTCTCATATTCAACCATAGAGTAATCCCCTGTTATATTCAAATAATTTCTTCTTGATCTATGCACAGGGTCCACAGAAGCACAGTGATGTGTTCTGAAATTCCCATTTTTCTCAGTGTCATCCATAGTTTGTTATGATCCACACAGTTGACTGCTTTTCATGGTCAATAAAACACAAGCAAACATCTTTCCAGTATTGTCTCCTTTCAGCCAAAATCCTTCTAATGTCAACAATGATATCTCTCTTGACATGTTCTTTTCCAAGTCTGGTTTCAAATGCTGCCTGTTTTCGGTCAATGTGCTACTGCCACCATTTTTGAATTACCTTTAAAAAATTAACTAGCATATAATATTAATAATTTTGTTCACGAATTTCTGCTTTCTGTCGTGTCACAAATATGGACTCCTTTTGGTTGCTTGGCTAAGTAGCTAGCTTATGAATTTCTTGGTATATATGTGTAAATGCTTCCATTGCTTCATAACATTTCCTTGCTTATCAAATCCTTTCCATTGGTATACCATCATTCCCTGAAAGCTTGTTTTGGGGCTAATGTCTTCATTTCACCTTGGAGTCTCCTTGCAATATCATTAGTTCTTGGTCATGCTACTTCTTAAAATGTTTGATTGTTGACCAATTCTTTTCATATAGCAAGTCTGTATATTTCTCCCATCTTTTTTTCATGCCTCCTGCACCATTCAATATTTTCCCCATGGAATCCTGCAAATAGAACAACTTAAAACGTGTATTTTTTTTTCTTTAATACTTTCTGCTTGAGACATGCTGAATGTGCTCTTTGTCTTTGGATTTTTAACTGCAAGTCTTTGCACAGTGAACTACAATACTCTACGCTGTCTTCTTGAGAAGCCCTTTGAAATTTTCAGTTCAGTTTTTTTTTACTTCCTAAATTCTTCTACTTTCTTGATCTCTATGTTCAAGAATGCTTTTTAAAGTCTCTTCTCATATTCATTTAAGCCTTTTCTGTATTTCCTGTCTTTTGAAATCCTATGTTTTTTCATATACAATGTGCTTGCAGCCATCCCTCATCTCATCAGGTCTTTGATCAATCTAGTTCAATGCATCAAAGCAGTTCTTGAGAGCTTCTCTAAATGCAAGTGGGACACATTTGGGGTTGCATTTGGGCTCCAGAGGACTTGTTATCATTTTCTTCACCTCCAACTTAAACTTCTACAGGAGCAATTTATGATCTGTTCAACAGTCATATCTGATTTTATATTTGGTTGATAGCTATTGAGCTTCTTTGTTGTCTCTTCCCAACGTTATTCTTGTGTATTTCATTCACTGAAATCCACCTGTGTATTATACACCTTTCTTGATATTAAAAAAGGATACGTGTAATGAAAAAGACCTGTGTCCTGCTAAATTCTTTCATGAAATCTCTAGCTTCATTTCTATCATCAAAGCCATATATTCCAACTACTATTGCTTCTTCTTTTGTTTCTAAGGTTCATATTCCAGTCACAAGAAATTATCAATGCATCTTCGTTGCATGATTGATTAATTTTGTCTAAAAAAGTCGGTAGAGTCCTTCAATTTCTTCATCCCTGGCTCTCAGAGTTAGTGAATAAATTTTAATGGTTAACCAGACTTCCTTATAGGAATGTTGATACTATCCTAAAACAGCATTATGATTTAATACTGAGATTGAGATACTCTTTTGATGGTGCACGTGACACATAGAGATGCTTTTGATACTCACAAGTCATCTTTGGAGAACTTTTCAACCCGAGGTGCTCGTTTTCATGCACTCTATGAGGTAATGCTCTGCTGCTCTTTATAAGCGTTTGAGTAGATAATCTCTCAGAAATGGGCAACCTTTTCTTCCATCTATGAAGTTATTCTTAGTATGGGAGCTCGGATGAAACCTTCTCACTAGTGGTGACTCTGATGATATTTCAAATACCAGTGGCACAATTTTCAGTATCCAAAGAACATGCATGCCACCATAGTATGACAAATTGATAGATGAGTGGTACTATTTGTAATGTAGTAGGTTTTGTGGGATTATTAAAAGAATAGTTTTATGGTATTAAAATGATTGATCTTGGAGGCATTTTGAAGTTAACAAAGGCATCTAACCATGGGTTATTGCTGACCTTTTCTTTTTATTAAAAATATGTAATTGGAAAAGAAATAATACAGGTGCTAATAATGTTGGTTTATTATTTTTATCTTACATGTTTTGAGTGCTCCTGGAAAGTGGGATGGTATTTGTAAGTTGATTAGAAACAAGTGTCAAGTTATTACTGAAATCTATACAAAAGTGTGTGATCTTCTATGTGGATGAGCAAGTTTTCAGATGTTAATGTTTATGTCTACACAAAGCTCCTTATAGATCTTCCCTGTTACACTACTATAAATGGTCCCCTGTCCCTTTTTATTTTATTCAGTATCCTCCAAATATAGCAGAAACACCTTTATGAATTGTACTGTGTGTCTTAAAATTATGCGTTGTAGACTTTAATTTTTGTACCAAAAGTTAGCCATATTTGGTAGCTAAGTGGAAGGGAGCTATCTGGTATACAAGGAGAAGAGAGACATCTCAAGACTGGGGAAACTAACAAGTTTACATGCCCAGGAACTCCCGCGATGGAAAACTAGGGAAGTTGAGAAAGGCTATGGGCCAGAGCCAGCTTCCCCTACAGCTAGTATGTTGAATCTGTGCTTTCAGCCTCTTAAGCAGACACTGCTACTTGGTCATGCTGTTGTATTGCCTGGATTCTCTACACTGTGCCACCCAGGTTCCAAACAGCAGAGTCCCTCCTGATGAACGGGTTTTGGTGGAGCTTCTATACCAAGAACAGACTGCAAAGAAAGAGCTGAGGGATGCTCTACTCACAAGCATATAAACAGCAGCCGGACACGGTCTGACATAGTGCAGGAAGATGAAGCCCTCGGGTTGGAAAGTAATCGGATTTTGACTGGAAAAGAGCTGTCTCCTCAAAGTGGAGGCGACCGACTATAATGATGTGGATGGAGTAATGTGTCCAGTACCTTCATCTACTGATAGGGCAAGACTCACAATGAGAAGAAACAATTGCAAACACCCTAAAAGTGTCAGCATCTGGAATGGTCAATGTATGAATCCAGAAAAACTGAAAGTAATCAAAAAGGAAATTGAACAAATAAAGATTGAGATTCAAGGCACTAGTGAGTTAAAATTGACTGGTAGTGGGCATTTTGAGTCAAAAATCATATGGCTTACTATTCCAGGAATAACTAAGGCAAGAAAAATGGTGTCACATTCATCAGCAAAAGAATTCTAAATACCTGCCTTTTAGTACAACACTATCTATGATAGAATCATATCAATATGCCTGTAAGGAAATCCAATTAACACAACACACACAAAAAAACCACACTGCCACCCAGTTAATTCCAACTGGCAACAGGAACGCGACGGGAGAGATTAGACTTCCCCTGTGGGCTTCTGAGACTGTGACTCTTTACAAGAGAAAAAGACTTCATCTTTTTCCCATGTAGCAACTGGTGGTTTCAAACTGCTGACCTCCTGGTTAGCAGCCCAACTTGTAACCACTATGCCGCATCAACCATTAAAGCCAGTAATGAATAAATGGAAGGATTCTACCAACTTCTTTAGTATGAAATTCATCAAGAATAAAACCGAGATTTATTGATAATTACTGGTGATTGAAATATGATAGTAGAAAAAAAAGGAAGGGATAGTAGTCAGAAACTATGGCCTTGGAAATGAATAATAATAGGACTTGGCAAAAATAATGTCTTCTTCCTTGCAAATGCCCCTTTTGAGCATCACAAAGCGTGCCTATTCAAGTAGATTTCACCCACTGTAAGACACAGGAACCGACATGGATATGTCAGTGTGGAAAGAAGCAGGAGTAGCTGAATGCCATTAGCCATAACAAAGGCTGTCTCATAATCAAGGTTAGGTTGAAGCTAACGAAAACACAACCTTTAGTGTATCCCATCTGAATACAGAGAGAGTCTTAAGAGTAGAGATGATGCATGGAACATTAATGAAAAAAGACCTGATGAGTGTGGGATGATATCAATAACATCATGTGTAAAGAAAGCAACAAGTTATTAAGAAGACAAAAAAGAGAAAGGCTAATAATGGATGCCAAGAGAGACTTTAAAACTTGCTTTTGACTGTAGAGCAGTTAAAGCAAGAGAACATAATGAGGTAGAACAGAAAAATTTTAAATACAGCTTGAGAAGATGAAGGAAAGTATATGCAATGAGCTAGTGTTAACATAACGAAGTGGATAAGAGGCTCAGCATATCTCAATCTGATAGAACTGAAGAAAATTGAGTTGGTATGTCGAAGGCTTCTACAGGCAAAATATTGTGGGATGCAGGAAACATTACAAGATGATGAACGGAATACACTGAGTCACTGTATCAAAAAAATTGGTTGGCATGTAATATGCTTTTCATGGCTACTCAAAATAAAGAAAACAATGCAGTTAATATTAATAATATATTTTATTTAACTAACATATCTGATATATTATAATACCATTATATCCCAAATATAATCATTGCATTATAAACTCAATGTTAAAATTGTGAATGAGATATTTTACCTCATTTATTCATATTATGGGTTGAAATGTGCTTTTTATTTTCATATTTATATTTATCCACATGTCTTAACTACATTATATTTATGCATATACCATAATGACATTGGACTAACTACACTACAAGTGGTTACCATCCCGCAATGTTGTCTGAATTGTTCTGAAAATATGTTCAACCTTGACCATACCGGTTCACCTGCAGGGAGGACCGGAATCATCACAGCCACCAGAAGCAGCATCTCTAAGAGTAAAGTCATAGCTGGAAAACACAACAAAGGGAAGACGTTCGGCATTGTCATATTTATTATCTGCACCCCCGAGGACCAAACAACAACAATGTAATGGTTTTCGTTATCCCAAAGGAACTGTAATTCCCAAATTCAAATGCAATTTAACAAGAGAAGAATTATTACAGTCCCAGGACTGTGCCTCCACTAAAACCAATAAGGAACAAATGAACAGACATACTTAACAGAAGCCCTGGGCACATACCTTGAAAGACTGTAGACTTGCTGGCTAATTCAGTGCCAGTCTTATCTAGGAAACTGATCTTTTCAGGTTCCATTGCCCAGTCAAAAGTAGTAATGATTACAGACAATTATTAGCCCTTGCAGGTTTCCTTAAATCTTGTCCACACTTTATAAACATTCCCTTATTAACATCACTCATATTATCATATAGCATTTATCATTTATATGCTGCCAGAACTCTGGCTGATACACTTGCCTTTCTTAGAAACCTACAGGAATATTTTAAGAAGAAAAAGGAAATAATTGTATATTATTAGTATACAATTGGTACTAGGAAATAACCAGATAACTAAGTGACTTGCTCCCACACACCTCCCTCCCTCAGTGCAGAATTGGGACTCCAGAAGCTCAGTCAAGAATACATTAGCCCTCAAATATTAAATATGAAAATGTTAAGAACCTATCTACAGTGTGGGTCCTAACCTTCAAGAATGGACATGTTCCTTGTAATTCTCAGTCACCACAATACCAGTCATTGAAAATGTTTTCTACTTTCTCTAGTTTGTATGGGGAAAAGTTGGTGGATTGAACTCACTAGTCATGCTGAAGAAAAAAAGACTTGGCCATCAGATCCCACAAATATTTCAGCCTAGGAAACTCTATGGAGTTGATCTAACTCTGTCTTATAGGGGCACCATGAGATGGAATCAACTTAAGTAAGGAATACGCAATAAAAACCATCAAGATACGTTTCTTACTGATCTGATCTCATCGATACCTTAATTATCCTTTGATTATATTCCCTTTTATTCCTTGATCAATTAATCCTCCAATCTAGATTATCTGTAGGTCCTTTGTTAAGCCCTTCTCCCTAAGAAATACTACAGATTTTATACCTATGGAAACATTTAAATAACATTGATCAGGTCATTTGATAGGAATATTGATTATGTTCCAGGATAGAAACATTTAGAGTTCTAAAAGCCATCTTTTGTTTATATTCAAGGTGTCAGATTGAAGTTGCTTTTGTTGTTAGGTACCATCAAGTCAGCTCCTACTCATAGTCACCCTGTGCACGGCACAGTGAAACATTGCCTCGTGCCTGGGAAAGTTGGGCCTGGAAGAACTGATGCATTTTCATTGTGGTGCTGGAGAAGAGTATTGAAAGAATCATGGGCTGCTAAAGTGAACAACTAATCACTTTCAGAAGAAGTGTGGCCCGAGTTCTCCATAGAAGTAAGGATAGTAAGAGTTCGTGGTACACATTTTGAACATGTGAGGAGAGACCAGTTCTTGGAGAGGGACATCATGCTTGGTAAAGTACAAGGGCAGTGAATGAGAGAAAGGCCCTCTAGGAGCTGGGTTGACTCAGTTGTTGTAACAATGGATTCCAACATAGGAACAATTGTGAGGATAGCACTAGCCTGGGCAATGTTTTGTTCTGTTGTGCATAAGGTCATACGGTTTAGAGCTGGTTCAATGGCACCTAACAAAAACAACAACAATAAAAACAGTACAATACATTGTATTCCACGCTGAAGCTGTAATCCTTGATCCGCACCAGCCAATGCTTCGACTCTTTCTCACGTTCAGCAAGCAGGCGTAGTCTTCCAATCCTGATGACACACTCTTCTTCATATAATCCTTTTTTTTCTAATGATTTGCTCAACATATAGATTGAAAAGTATGCTGAGAGGATACAACCCTGTTGCACACCTTTCTTGATTTTAAACTATGCAATATTCCCTTTTTCTGTTTGCACAACTGTTTCTTGATCTTTGAACGAATTTCCCATATGGACAATGAATTATTGTGGAATCCCCATCTTTCTCAAGACTATCTATAGTTGGTTGAACGCTTTGGTATTCTCTGATTTCAGCCACAATTCACATGACATCAGTAATGATATCACTTGTTTCATGCCTTTTTCTGAATCTGGTCTGAACCTCTAGCAGGTACCTGACAATGCACTGCTGGAATCATTGTTGGATGAACTGCAGTTAAAATGTACTGTTTATTGTTCTTTGTTCTATAATATGAGCATTGTGTTTGGCCATCTTTTTTTTTAATGGATAGAAATGCAGATCTCTTCCAGTTAGTTGGTCAGCTAGCAGTCTTCCAAGTTTCCTGACATAGACGAGTGAGTGCTTCCAGTGTTTCGTCAGCTTGTTGAAACCTTTCAATTGGTATTCCATTGATTCCTGGAGCCTTGCTAATACTTTCAGTGCAGCTAGAATGTCTTCCTTCAGTACCATTGGTTCTTGCCCATATGCTACCTCCTGAATGGTGGAAGGGTGACTAGTTCCTAGATTTATGTAGAGGATTGTATTTCTCTTGATTGACTAATTAAATTGTGAGTTTGGAAAAACAATTCTCAAATTTTTTAAAATGTCTTATGGTTACTGATGGGCAATCTGTTCTTTCTCAATTGTACGGTGGCTGAGCCTTATAAATCTCAAAGAGAACCTCTGTTAGCCTAGCCCTTTGGACACAATGTTCTGTTATAGTTTCAAGTGGACCTCCTGGAGAATTTGAGACAAAAGAGAAACTTTTTTTTCAAGTTAAAGATCCTTAAGTATTGGTCTTTCTTTAAGTGACATTATTCAAGCTTGGGCACTCTATTCTGAGTAGCATGCTAGAGCTTCAGGGTTGTTATTGGTTAGAATAAATTGGATTTTGACTTAAAGTAACCCCGTTAAACAGAGCAGAGATATCTTATAAAGTTTTCTATGCTGTATACTTAAAGTGAGGGGGGTTAATTGGAATATCCTTTAAAATTAATGATTAAGATTATTATTAAGATTGATTATAAATTTATATTGGCAAAAATGGAATGTTGTTGTAATAATGGGACAATGGAGATGAATAGAATGGAAATGAACCACACTAGGTGGCTTAAAAAATGTTGGCTTCAAAGTCCTTGCTCCTAGCAGTGCAGGTCAATGATTGAAAGTTCTTAAAGGGTCACACAGACCCCAAAGGATAATGTTAAAGAGCATTAGCAAAGGTGTAGAGTGTACATTCACAGTGCAGGCCTTTGGAGATGCTAGGCACAGCTCAGAAGCATATCCTGTATGGGGTATTTTCTAACTTCAAACGTAACATTTACTCTGTATTCTGATCATTTTCATTCATCTCACCACTTGTCTGTAAAAGCCTGTCAACATAAAGTTTTCAAAATGTTATGCTTCACGTTGTAGAGAATATATTAAGCACATTGCTGTCAATTGTTTCTGTTCAAGAAACCCTAATATTCAGGTTATTCTATAGAATTGCCAAGGTTGTGATCTTTAGAGAAGTAAACTGCCACATCTTTCTCCCTTCCAGTGACCTTGGAGTGTGAACTGCCAGGTTTTTGTATAGCAGAGAAAAGCTTAACCATGCTACAGCCAGGGCTCCTGAGAACGTGTATAAAACATCAAATACCAGAAAGACAAAGAAAAGTAGCCTAATGGCCATTAAGCCAATTCTGACTTGAAGTGTATAGAGCAGAGTAAAAAGACTCCCTAGAGGTTCCAAGGCTGTAAACCTCTACTGGGGGACAACAGCTGATGGACTTGAACTTCTGATCTTGCAGTTAATACTCAAAAGGCCCAGTGTGTTATTCAGAGACACAAGAGCTCCAACAACTCTATAAGGAGGTCAAAATAAAAAGCACCTTCCTCGCCAGTCTTTGAAAGCCCCCCAGCCCTTCAAGATTGAATTACCCAGCCCCCCGCTTTACTTGAATTTACTAAACAATGTCCCTAGATCAAGTGCATATTTCATTTGAAAATTACCAGACATCTGGCAGTATTTCAACTTCCTCCTGAACTTCGTAAATGATAGGTCAATTTAAGGTCCACTTCTACCTCAAGACACATCATTATAGAGTAATTACTGTGCTTGAAACCTAACAATGGTTTCATTTCTTTTGGCTTTTCTTCAGATGTTTAGCCAGATAGGCAGGCATTTCAGGTTTGGGCATTAACCAGTAGAAGAGTCAGCACCAGATTGTTTTAGCAATAGCAAAAGAGCGCCTGGTGCTTCATGGATGGCATTTGGCCATTGTGGATTAGAACATTCCTAAGCTATCTTTTGGAGTTAAAAAGATCCCTCTATGAGGTAAATTTTTCCTTACCTATTGCCATTAGAATTTCTCTGGTCTCCAAATTTGATTCTCTACAATTATTTTATAGTTGCCAAACAATTTAAAGTTTTACATAGAAATTACTTTCTTATATATATTTAACAAATTAAAATTTGACTGTATAAAGGTAGTTGGTTAGGCTGGATTTTACTCAGAAATATTTTCTCAAATTTTATTTCTTTTCTTTGAGCACATTGCATGAGGGAAGGCATTGTGTCTTACGTTGACCATCTTTAAAAAAATGTTACCTTATAGTAATTGTTATTTTTTGCTTTTGACCCACTTAACTATTAGCAACAGTTAGCTTTCCGTTCTCATTTAACTATTTTATTGATCCCTACATTAATTATAACTACAGCTATAAAATTACACATATTAACTATATTTAACCAATGAAAATTATTAATAACTAATACACATATCATCACAACTTTTGTTTATATTAAAAAGTACAGTATAATTATTTTTTTAAGTATATGTTCACTTATGGGAGTAAATACTTTATTAATATAAATAGTTAATTTGAATATTAATTGAATGAATTTTATTTTCAAGTGATATCAATACATGTTACCTTCTTAAACTTAAAAGACCCATAATAACTAAAGAGCATTACATTCAATAAAAAGTACAAAATTTTGAAAATGATGGATCAATAGGTTTTATCATGAAAATGTATCATTAGAAAGCTAAAAATATATTGGGACATAAATTGTTCACCTTCAAATAAAGAAATGATCACTTACTTTTGATTCCTAGAGAAGAATGAGGTATCAGCTTTATATTTGAAAGAAAGACTGTGGAAAGAGAGGTTTGAGCAGTATATATATATTACAGTTATTTCCTGTTGGGCAAGTTCTCATGGTGCAAGGAAATCTAAGTCAATAGACTGCAAGAGGATTTGGCATGTCAATAGTCTCAAATTTTATTGCTGGTATCTAACTGCAATTGGGACATAAGTTAGTA